TCATTCACTGAGCATCTGAAGCATCTAGAACAAGTTTTGGAAGTGTTACAGACCAATCAGTTATACCTAAAGCAATCCAAATGTTCATTTGCTCAAACACAGCTAGAGTATTTAGGTCACATCATTTCAGCTGCAGGAGTAGCTACTGATCCTCAGAAAACTCATGCTATGTTACATTGGCCCCAACCCAAAACTATGACAAAACTTGTGAAGGGCTAATAGGATATTATAGAAAATTTGTGAAGGGCTACGGAATTATGGCCAAACCACTCACCAACTTACTCAAGCACAAGCACTTTCGGTGTCCCCCAATAGCTCAAGAAGCCTTTGATAAGCTCAAATTAGCTCTCACAACTACTCCAGTCCTGGCACTACCAAATTTTCAGCAACCTTTCACAGTGGAAACTGATGCTTGTGGGGAAGGAATTGGAGCAGTTCTTATGCAATCTGGCCAGCCCATTGCTTATCTCAGTAAGGCACTGGGAGAGAAACATCAGAAGCTATCCATTTACGAAAAAGAGTTTCTAGCCTTAATTATGGCAGTGGAGAAATGGAAACATTACTTACAGAGGCAAGAATTCACCATCTTAACTGATCATAAATCACTGTTCTATCTTGCTGAGCAGAATCTTCATTCAGAAATGCAGAGGAAGGCCATGACTAGACTCATGGGACTTCAATTTAAAATTGTCTATAAGAAGGGCAAGGAGAATGTAGCTGCTGATGCTCTGTCTAGAGTACCACATCTCCACACCTTATAGGCAGTATCCTTGGTGAAGCCTGATTGGGTCCAGGAGGTCCTCAATTCATATACAACAGATGATAGAGCTCAGCAATTGCTTCAACAGTTGGCAGTTACTAGCCCTGATCCAGAAGGGTATAGTCTTGATAATGGGTTGATCAGACACCATAACAAGCTCTGGATTGGCAACAATTCAGCACTACAAACTAAGCTTATTGCTAGTTTTCATTCCACGGCTATAGGTGGACATTCTGGCACTGCTGCAACATATCATAGGCTGAAAAATCACTTTTCTTGGAAAGGGATGAAACATGCTGTGGAAAGCTACATCAAACAATGTGATGTCTGTCAACATGCCAAACACTCCAACACTCATCCTGCAGGTTTACTTTAACCCTTACCATTACCTCAGGGAGTTTGGATTGATCTGTCTATGGACTTTATAGAGGGTCTTCCCAAATCACAAGGTTACAGTGTCATTCTTATAGTAGTGGACAAATTAACCAAATATGCACATTTCATGGCAGTTAAACACCCTTATACAACAGCCTCTATAGCACAGATATTTATGGACAATGTGGTCAGGTTACATGGGTTACCACAATCCATTGTTTCTGATAGGGCCACCATTTTTGTCAGTGCTTTTTGGAAAGAACTATTCAAGCTTTACAGAGTTAAATTGGCCCTCAGCACAGCTTACCACCCATAGTCAGATGGCAAACTGAAAGGGTCAACCAATGCTTGGAAATGTACCTGAGGTGTTCAGTCCAAGATGCTCCTAGAACCTAGAAGTCCTAGCTATCCTTAGCAGAACTATGGTACAACTCCACATTCCACTCCTCCCTCGGTTGCTCTCCTTTCAAAGCACTCTATGGCTATGAACCAACAGTGGGCGCCACACCATTGATCTCACCTGCTACATTACCAACTGTTGCTGAAATCATTGAGAATCGTGAGCTCCATCTTCAATCTCTGAAGCAACATTTGGCCAGTGCTCAGAATAGGATGAAAGTCATGGCTGATAAGAAAAGAGTAGATCTCCAGTTCCAGGTTGGCGATCAAGTGCTGCTAAAGCTCCAACCATATACCCAGTCCACAGTGGCCAACCGACCATATCCCAAGCTAGCCTACAAATTCTATGGGCCATACACCATCCTGGAGAAAATTGGAAAAGTGACCTATCGGTTGGATTTACCTCAGAGTAGCCAAATCCACCCGGTATTTCACATTTCCCAGCTCAAGTCATTTGTTCCTAATTTCTCCCTAGTGTTTTCAGAACTGTCGGTCACTACTGACATTGAGGCGGCCACGGCGGTTCCTGAAGTCATCATCGAGCGCCGCCTGGTCAAGAAGGGTGCCACCGCTGTTCCTCAAGTCCTGGTGAAATGGAGCGGCCTTCCAACGACGTCGGCCACCTAGGAAGACTACAACGTCTTGCGCCATCGCTTTCCGGATGCACCTGCTTGGGGGCAAGCAAGCACTTCGGCGGGGGGAGCTGTCAAGCCCACGACGATGACTACCTAAAGGACTACCTGAAGGAAGCGTATTCGCTGAAAGGCGTTATCTATTTAGGATTACGTATTCAATTGTTTATGTAAGGCAACGTCTATGACGTGTGGGCCCTGAGGGCAGAACCAGTCTGTTTTAAGCAACCTCCGTGAGACTCTGTAAGGCATCGCACTTTTAGACAATACAGACTCGACAAGAGGAACCTTTCCTCTGTCGTTCCGATCTCATGTTCCTCTTGTGTTCCTCACGTCGGCGGTGATCCTCGGCGGTGATCCTCGGCGGCAACGGGGTGTGACAGATTTGGGCTTGATTGGCAGATCGGCTCCGGGGAAGGAGTGGCGGCGACGTCGTCGGGTGGAGGGGGCGGGACGGACGGGTGGGTGGGAGACATCCTCTTGTATGCCTTTTGTTTTCTTGTCTGAAAACTTGTCTTCCTTTGTGCTAACTACATACTACAGAGTGCAGCCCAAGCAAAAACTGAAGTCTACAGTCGAAGTATAAAAGTGAATTAGCCGTAAGTGGATTGCTCGCCTTTTTTCTACCAACTTAAACTACATGCAATTCAATAGGTTATCAGGGCCAGAGTTCTCAAGTTTGAATTCTGATGGGCGCAATTAATTTAAATAATTATAGCCGACTTCTATAGGCCCCATTCGCTGGTCTGAAACTTAGCTGAAAAACACTGTTCCGGCTGAATTGTTGTGAGAAAAAAACACTGTTTCGACTGAAAAAAGAAGCCGAACAAACTAAATATGGGGTAAGCCGAACAGTTAGTTTGAGGCCTTACGACTGCAAAAAGAAGCCGAACAAACTAAATATGGGGTAAGCCGAACAGTTAGTTTGAGGCCTGAGGGAACACACGTGTGGAGGAGTGTTGAAGTATAGGTTAATTGGACACCTCTCTCTCTTTGTCTAAGCTTTTGGCTCAATAGCTACATGGATAGCTGAAAGTCAGCCACATGCAGAAATCAGAATGTGGATGAAAAAAGGACGGGGGGCAACGCAAAATCCAGACTGAAGAACAAAGTACATATAATATAGCTTCCGATGGCCAGAAAGCAATAGGCAAATTCACAAGCAAAATGATAACGAACATTCATTCTGGGACTTCGTTCACTGCCTTACACCTCATCTGCTAGGTGCCTTATAGTTATAGATCAAGGATTTTGCCAAATCTCCATGGGATAAGCATAGAGTCCAGCTTTATCAGGTTTTTGCATAAGCTCATAAGGAACAATGGTTTCTGGAAGCGAAAATAAGAAACACAGACGCCTTATAGAATCTGAAAATGAAGAGGCAGAGGCACTGCTGTACCAATGGCTTACTTCTTTTTTCCGCTTTCCAAATGGTGTTTAGGATAATGAGATGAGATAGGTATGCTGAAGCCAACAAGGCAATGGTCCACGTTGCGGGGAGCTGTTTACCTCCTCGCCGACCCAAATTTGAGTCTCTTGCAACAGATTTGTGTGCCCATGTAGCAATTTTTGAATTCCAAAGCTTCTAACACGTTCTAAAAAGGGCAAACCAGATAAGCATGCCCATCCATCTAATCCTTTAAATATCTCAATAAAAAAATATGCACTGGCCGTGGCAAATCTATGTCACATGTACACTTAAAAAGTTTATCCTTCGAATATTCTGGCATGGCCAACAGTGTGTAGCAAATGGAGAAGAATGGAAGCGCACTAAGTGGATAAGATGGTCCACATATTCAAAACTTGATCTAAAAGGTATAGAGAAAATCAATAAATGAAATGAATAGCGACTGCCATGAAAGTTAGATAAAGCATAAAAGCAACCAAAAATATTGAAGAACCTTTACTTGATCTAGCATTCCATACTCTGACAAAAAAAAATTGTCTGTTGGAGATTCTTTTCCTGGTTATTGCAAAAACATCAGGCAATTTTTACATGAAACCACCTTCAACAGAAACCTGCAATTGGGGATACGGTTCTCTTTTCTACACTAGAACATGCCGATTTTTCATATGAATTTAGAACCTATGTGGAATAAACAAAGAACATGAAAAGTTATTCCACTTGCCGATACATATAAAAGAATCACCTGCTTTTGTTGAGCTTTCAAGAATGAGGCCAGATAGTGATGAATATGATCTTTGGTGCACCTGAGCTTCGAGTCTTATCAGATAGAAAGTAACTTCACCTTCTTCTTTTTTTTTTTGCAACCAGTGGCATATGAGGATCCCACTGTGGATACATTGCGCCGAGTCAACCATGACTTAATAACTCTTGAGGGTTGCCAGTAAGGCCTGGTTATCCCAATTGACATCAGAATTTGCTGCTACAAGAAAGTAGGAAAGGCCAGAGTTGCTATGCATTGAAGTTCTACTTCTAAGTTTCTTCTACTAATACAATGATACGCAGCTCTCCTGCGTGTTCGAGAAAAAAAAAGTTCTACTTCTAAGTTCTAACCCCCTGCTGCCACCCCACCCTAAAAGAATATAAAATTCTATGTTCTCTGTTCTAAATTGTAGGTCATTTTAGTTTTGTCTTGAGTCAAACTTCTTCACCATTGGCTCATCTGTACTGTGCTCAAACATTTCACTTTGCTTTACCCCTCTGCCATGCTTCTGTTGTCTGTAGAACAAGAGGCAACTCTGCCAAGCTTCTCATGGCAACAAATAAGCTACACTGCGGAACACATTATCACATACAGAACGCATGGATACAGTACAACATAACACTTTAACTCAACTCACGAATGGACCCCCCTTGCAAAAGGCTCACACTACTTGTGAAGGCCACAGAGACAGTTCTCAACGCCTACGTCTCTGGCAATGCAGGGGGGCTGGCTTATTCCATCCTGGTACCAAGTCGCCCGTTTCTCCACTAATTCATTCAGGAAATAGTCTAGCTTGTCAATGTTGACACTGGGCATCACCACAACGTGAGCTATATTGCGTTCACAAGCGAGCTGCCACCTTCGGACAAATTCTTCATCCTTCGGTCTTTCAAATACAACTGTGCTGCTGAGCTCGTTAAGCATTGCTCCGACTCCTGCCTCCCTGAGGCGATCTTTTAGGTAGTGTGCGTTTCTCAAGCACTTTTGGACTTCTTTCTGAAAGCCTCTGTAGCCCTTCCTGTTGAGGGTGTACCAGAGGAAGATGGGAGCATGGCCATTCCTGCTTCCCATGATTGTTGCATCCCTTGACACCAGATACTCCACATTGCTAGAAAGGGCATTTATGTGCTCCAATCTTGTTATCTGCACACCACATGGCACACCAGATACTCCACATTGCTAGAAAGGGCATTTATGTGCTCCAATCTTGTTATCTGCACACCACATGGCATGGGGCATCCAACAAACTTGTGCCCAGAGACGCTGACACTCCCAATAGGCTTTTTAAATGTCACTTGAGGTGCCTAATGAAGATACATATACATATATCAGGAGAATGAGCTATCAAAGTAGATGTGTAACTAGCACAGCTTAATCTAAATAGTACATAAAGCATGGAAAATCAAAAGATCACCTTCTTAACAAATGGTATCATCAATCCAAAAAGGGCACCATCACAATGAATATAAAACCGATCTTTAAAGCCGTTTTCCTCAAGGGTTTTGATAACCAAGTCTAGATCATCAACTGCCCCCTTCACAGTTGTTCCTGCACAGCAATTTTGTTTAGAAGCAGAACACATGTGAAGGCAAGGTTAGTCTGGGAATTAAAACTCACCAATGTTAACATTAATGATGGCAGGTTTGTCTCTGTTCTGCAATAACTTTCTCTGGAAATCAGCACAATCTATTTCCCCAGACATAAGGGTGTCAACTTTGACACAATCCATTCTGTACATTCTTGCAGCTTTGAATACTGAATAATGGGACTCGTGAGAAGCATACAATATTCCATCAGGGAACACCTTCCTCCTGTAAAACAGTTTATAAAGAAGATTAAGAGCAGAAGTGACATTTCACATAAGCAGTGAAAGTAGCAAGGACTTCTCAAGTATTACCCAACAAGAATCCCATGCAGATTTCCTTCTGTACCACAGTTAGTAATATATCCCCAGTACTCATCCTTTTCTAACTCCCAGAGGCGAGCGAACCAATCCAACACTCCAACCTCAAACTGCCTGGAGTGGACACCGTAGTTGCTCTCGATGAAGGGGTCGCCAAGGTTGTTAATGGAGAAGTGCTGCAGCTGGGCCAGTGCACCATAATCGAAGTCCAGATTGTATGGGTAACCTTCATGAAACCAATAGACGCCATGAGCTAACATAATTATATTGCTGTCTGTTTTTGGTTCTATTATACAAAAGGCACATCCATATAACTGTGGCATGTCCCACTAGACTCCAGAGTACAGATTTATGCTTATGCTGCCTTCTTTATTAACTACTCCATCTGGTTAAGCAAGTGTCATTTCCAACAACAACACAGTTTGAAGTATGCATCTTTGAACACTAAATTATTTAGCCAAGTAAAACCATAATATTATGGAAAGTATTTTTGAGACTACATATATAGTATATATGCTAAAACTAAAGACTGCAGAGGCACTGATAAATGCATGTGATAAGTATACGAAGACTGACACACTTTTGTAATTGGAAGGAGTAATAAGAAACTAAGAATAGTCAGATAGAATAAAAGAGTTATGGTAAAGAACTAGACTTGGATTACAAAAAAAAACTTGACTAGAACAGGGCATTTCTAGCTCTATTTTCTATTTTTTTATGTCCAAAAGCTTAGTTCTTTTTTAAACCAATTATACTAACACAAGCGGATAACTTTCTAGCATTTCCATTACAATTCAGTGCTTGCACTACAACGTAAAGTTTCATTAGAGTTGCAGGATGAATTTAGAAAGACAGAGCAAGTGAAACTTCAGAAACATTTCATTTTTTTGGCAAAAATAGTACTTTCTAAAAAAAAAGTTTTGGAACAAAAAGGAATCTCAGCTGCTTGTGAGATATGGATCTATGCTTATGCCAACACTATTAATATTTTCTTTTAAAACAAAGTAAAGGCTAGAATCTTTTATTATATAATCAGACATCCATCCCACAAGAAATTTTTTTTAATTTTGACACTTTTTGTAAACTAATTTTAAATCTAACACTGTTTTTTTTTTATTTAAAACTAACACTTTTGGCCGCGCCTATTGTCATGGCGCGCCGCGCCATGCATGGTGGCGCAGCAGGAGGGTGACGTGGCAGGCTCTGCCGCGCCACTGATCTTGGCGCGGCACTGACGCGCCACGACGCATGGCGCGGTAGGGTCAGATAAATATTGCCCGCGAGCCGCCCCTTCCCCCGAGCCGACCGCCCTGCCTCTGCCTGCCGCCCCTGCCCGAAGCGCCGGTGCCACCGCGCCCATAGCCAACGCTACGCCGCCCGTGCTGCCTGACGCCACCACCACCACTGCCGCTTGCCTACCGCCGCCCAAGACGCCGCAGAGCCTCATTGCCGCCTTCGCGCCGCCGCACGCGCCGCGCCATGCCGCCCGCCCGCCCGCCCACTCACTGCAGCGCCATTTAACGCCGCGGCACACGTCACGCCGCCGCCCCACCGCTCATATCAAGGTAGGCTCTCTCGATTTCATGTTATTATGATTGTTATTTTAGTTAGGGTTAGTGATTTAGGATAGTTAGATTAGTGAATTTGTTAGGATTTGTTAGTGATTTAGAATTTGTTAGGATAGTGATTTAGAATTTGTTAGTGATTTAGGATAGTTAAGGTTTGGTTAGGTAGTTAGGGTTTAGGGATTGATTTTGGGTTTAGCTTAGGTAGTTTTGGTTAGGTAGTTAGGGTTTAGGTTACTGTTAGCTAGGATTTTAGGTTTAGGGATTGATTGTCGGTACTTAGTAGTGCGTGATACGGCGATTTGGATAACTTGATGAAGTTTCGTCAAATGCTTATTTCTTTAGTGAAGTTGTTTAATATGTCTGTTAATGTTACTTTGAATATATACATGTGCTTTCATATTGTGTTCGTATTGCATAACAAGTAGTTCAAATTTTGCAATGCTACATAATGTTAATTTGAATATTGTTAACTTGAATACTCTAACCCTTTGTTTATCAATTTGTAATAGGATGACCCCTCCCACGCAGCACCCGTTGTATCCCATTCTTGAGGTGGAGTACGACGACCAGCACCGAGCACACATCTTGAGTGACACCAACGCACAGGTGGCCTTGCCTACTTTGAGGCCCCGCACGCACACCAGGGCACACCAGTGGGACGAGCGTTACGCGCCGTATATACGGCATGCCAGCTTCCTCGAGCTTGTTCATGTTGTCAACTACGGTCTTCCGCCCCTTGACCCAACACTACTTACTGCAGCTGTAGACAAGTGTGAGTGCCTTCTTTGTATGTAAACATTCTTATAACAAATTTGAGACAACTAACGGTCGTTCTATTCTTGTAACAGGTGGAGGCCTGAGACCCACACGTTCCACCTACCTTGCGGCGAGATGACCTTGACCATGCAGAACGTGAAGGCTATCTTTGGCCTTCGATTGGAGGGACTTCCAGTGACAGGGATAGTTGACAACGATCACTGGAGGGAGTTGGTAGCTCAGTTCACAGGCTTTCTTTCACTGGACGACGAGGCTTCCAAGAAAAATAAGTGAGCAATTCAAGCCTATTTAATACTTGCATTGCTTTCCTACAGTCATCGGGTCTCATTTTCTTTGGTCAATTTCAGGAAAAGTTCCGGTGTTTCGTCTTCCTGGATCACAGAGCGCTTTGATTACTTGGACCCACAGGCTGAGGAGGCTCAGATCAACAGGTTCGCTAGAGTGTGGCTCTGGCACTTCCTTGGTGCCTTCCTCTTCCCAGACGCCTCGGACACCACCATCAGCTGGATCTTCCTCGACATACTACGCCAGCCGTGGGAGAACATAGCGGCGTACAGCTGGGGCAGCGCAGTCCCGGCATGGACGTATCGACAGCTGTGCGTCGCCTGCCGTTGCACCTCAGGGTATGCGAACCTTGGGGTTTGCTCCTACCTACTTCAGGTTTGGTGTTGGGAACAATGGCCCGTTGGGAGGCCCCTTAATACTGGTTTACCGGTAAGTACTTCGATTCACTATATTCTTCGAGGCAGTTACATATGATTAAATTATTAATGGCTATTTCATTATCGTGTTCAATGCATCAATGGAACGGACAGGATACACTCTCTACAGCTCTGTATATCTGGACGGAAGCACAGTTAGTTAGAGGGAATGCGAGGCGCAAGTACAGGGAGTACACGGACGGTCTCGACGTCCCGACACAGCACTAAGTTACGCTCTCTTTACTATCATACATGTGTGTTGTTCGATATACACTATATCACAACCTAACTCAATTACGAAATGTTCAGGTGCATTGGTGTCCTTGGGATGCTCCGGAGCTCGAGTACTATCTAAGTCTTGTAACTAGGGACGAGTCAGACGAGTATCGCTGCAACGTCCTTCTTATTTTCTTCCACGTGGTCGAGATTCACTTGCCCATCAGGGTCTGCAGACAGTTTGGAAGAATGACAGGCTGCCCACCACCGCTTTACTCCACCAACCAAGGATTGCAGTGCGTTATCAATTAATAACAAAGCTACAATTCAGAGATGTGTGTGGTACAACTAACATCGTTTTGTTGCAGATATGACGGCAGGAAGAGGTACAAGACCAAGGATTGGCGCGTGACACACAACGCGCACATCCTTTTGTGGGAGACCAGGGAACGGCAGCCGGTCCATGCGGGTCCTCCACACGATCAGCACACCTTCGACGAGTACCTGCGGTGGCTTCACAGGTCTACGAGGACACATATCAAGCCCCCGTACACTGAGGAGACGATTGATGAGGACTCGGAGGAAGATGTGTACGACGCTACCACTAGGGAGGACACACAGCTACAGAGAGCCCCGCTTCAAAGATACGTGGTAAGATACTTGAATGGTACAATTTGTTATCATTTTGGTATTAAGTATGTGTACTAAAACTGTCCAACCGCGTTTCTGTACCCAGGCGACACAATTGTCAAGGATGTCCAACGAAGCAGCGTTCCGGCTACACGAGTCTAGAGGGCAGGGGCCAGGCGTTCTCGAGGCTTTTGTGGAGGTAAACATAAACTTGTCCGTTCCGAAAATGTTTCTTTAGTGTATATGCGTTTGCGAAATGCACTAACTTTAACGTCTATTTATGCAGAAGGTGAAGAAGAGCTGCAGGAAGCTAGCTCAGAAGCTGAGCTGCATGGACACCTTATGTGGAACCGCCACTCCCGACACGGTCGGATGGCACGTCTTTAGCCTCTTTGAGGACACCAGCCAGCTCTTCTCAGCCGGTGACAAGTGCCACTTCCGCAGTGCATACACCATCACATCATAGCGCTGGGAAGGACCCTGCAACCGAGGACGACGATGACGACAACCCCCGGGCTTCCGCAGACAACACGACCAGTGGGACGATTGGCCGCAGGACGAGATCGGCATGTCATGTCTCAGTTAGGTGGTGCCCCGCTTCGTATCCAAAGAGCCTCACAGGTACTAACAAAGGTAATTTCTTTAAATACGTTTGCTCCATGAACTAACGATCATAAAGATTATAAGTAATCGTGCATATCATATACTTGCAGGGTACGAGCCATACGCACCGGCGACGCGACCACACCGACGTTGGCTACACTCCCAATGTGTTGCCAACAAATTCGAAGAGATAAAGGCGTCCGAGGGATCGTTACACTCCTGTGTCTTCGTTTGTTAGGTCGAACGAATATTGGCGTCCGAAACTCGCAGGCTTAGTTGGTTATGTTATGTCGAACTTATATCAAACCAATGAAAATTTTATGTGGCAGCTTGTCAACTTGCGCACGGACTGCATTTATTTGCTTCGTATTCGTTTCATTGCGTCGCGGCAGCACTGCCGACGAGATTAAGTAGCAACTAGTTCGGGAACCAGCAGTACCGACGTCTTGACCCCGATCCTCCCAAGCTTGGTCATCGCCGCCACGAAATCGCCGAAGAAGGCACCCTGGTTAGACGCGCAATAGTCGACCGTGCTGCGCGACCCCATGTCGGACTAGGGCACCTGGTCGGAGCCCACCAGAAAGGGATCAAGGAAGCCGGGGTCCATGATCGCGTCGCTGCCGATCCTCAACCAAAAGCAGCCGATCTTCCGTCATGCTGCGTCCGTGTCTCGCCAGCGCCATGCAGGCGCAGTAAGCTTGTCGATGCAGCGCCAAGATCGATGGCGGCGGACGCCACGCCATCCGGTCAACGGCCCCGGTCTTCGCCACGTCACCCTCCTGCCACGCCACCATGCATGGCGCGGCACAGGCATCATGGCGCGCTATGACAATAGGCGTGGCCAAAAGTGTTAGTTTAAAAAAAACAGTGTTAGATTTAAAATTAGTTTACAAAAAGTGTTAAAATTAAAAAAAAAATCTCCCACAATTGTAGCAGAACACACGTGGTGTAGATGGAGATAAATTTGAGGAAAATTCTGTCCACATGTATAAGATCTACTGTGTTGATTAGAATCCAATAATATATGTATTTAAGCTGACGAGAAGAGGATTGAAGGGCTGTTGGCACGAAAGACAAACAGCACGCACATGATTCAGTGGACTGGAATTTTTTTATTTCAGAATCTCTGTATTATAACCCGGAATAGTTGATGAGGTGAAAAATTTTGGGTGTCATATCGGATGTGTCGGAATGATGTCGGGAGAGGTTTTTGGATACTAATAAAAAAAACAAATTACAGAACCCATCAGAAAACTACGAGATGAATCTAATGATACTAATTAATCGGTCATTAGCACATGTGGGGTACTGTATCACTTAAGGCTTTTCATGGACTAATTAGGCTTAAAAGATTCGTCTCGCGATTTCCAACCAAACTGTGCAATTAGTTTTTTTTCATCTACATTTAATACTCCATACATGTGCCGCAAGATTCGACGTGATATTTTGGGGTGAAAATTTTTTGGAACTAAACAGGGCCCAAATTGGCAAGGAAGGCAAGGTAAAGATGCACCGGATAAAAGAGCTGGCCATCAAAGCCTAACACTTAATTTTAATATTATAGAGCCGTACTCGATCTAGGTACAGATTGCAACTGATAACAGTTATCTAAACAAAAGTGAAGTTCATTCAGATTTGCACTGAAAATGTCATGGGCGCACGCATAAAAGTGCTACGTAAATAAATAAATAACGCCGCTATTTTATTTTATCGCCGCGAGTTGTATTTATGCGAGACGAAGGAAACGAGCACGGCATTTTGGCCCAGTAGAGTACCAAAAATACCGAGGCAGAAGCCGACACTAAAGAATGCCGCAACCCGCAAGCCGCTAAACCGTCCGGCGCACTGGTGTGTCACGAGATCAGGCCACCACGGACCAGATCGAGGAGGCGCTAAGAGAAGGAAAGCGAAATCGACGGAGCCGGAGCGTGAGCGTCCAATCCAAGGGGCAGCGTACCGAGGTGGTGCTTGGTGCGTTCGACGAGCAAGCGGCGGTAGAGCGCGAGGACGCTGGCCATGGTCGCCTCCCGCTCACCGGTTTCCTCGTCGTCCGCGTCGGGCTCCTTCACGGCAAAGCAGGAGGTGTGCACGTTCCTCCCCATCACGATCTCCCTCCTCCCGTTGGCAGCCTCCTCCTCCCGCTTCGCCTCCACCTCCACCGCCGCCGCGGCCACTAAGGCCTCCGGCGGCTCCAGCTCCATCGGGAGCGTCTCCGCGGCGGCCGTCGCCGCCGCCGCCGCCTCGGCAGGATGCAGCGCCTTCCCCACCCCGTTCATGGAGACGGCCCCTGCGCCCAGATCCGCCAGCCCGTTGCCCACGCTCCCAACCATGTCGGTCGCCGCGAGGGGATTTGCCGAGAGGCCGTGCGCAGATTTGGGGACGGAGGCGGGAGGAGGCACAGCGAGAGAGAGAACGAGGGGAAGGGACTCGAGGGATTTGCGGGCGCATTTATAATCGGACGGCGAGAACGGAGAAACTGGTCACCATTTGCCGGGAGGGCCGTTCGTGTCCTGGTGTGTGCAGTGTGCACCGTGCACGGGTCCGACTCGGGAGTCGTCTCGGGTCTTCGACCCACGAGTGGTGCGCGTGGGCAGGCGGGACGCGGTGGGGCGCCGCGGCCTGCGGGTGCGTGGAGATGTTTGCGCTGATTCGCTGGTTGGTGGGACCGGTTAGATGTGGGTCCGGATTGGCAGTGAACTGGACGTCAAGGGGTCGGGTGGAGTGTGCAGATTTGAGGGCTCACATCACAGGACCGACGTGCAGTTGTTTCTCCGGACTTGTTTGGCCGGGCACCCGTCAGCTCCGGCTCCCTAGGACGAACACTGTAGTATCACTGTAGCAGCGGAGCTGTTTTCTCACCCGCCTTTTTTTTCTCTCACTGTAGCGGGTTACTGTTTATGGAGCCAGTGAGGCTCGGATTTCAACAGGTTCTCCGGATCGGCTATGCGCATGTAACAAAAACAAATTAACTATGGACTGCGTGTCACGAAAAGTGGTTTATGAATATTATAGATACATATTTAAATTAATTTATTATAAAAATACATTTCGTAATTAATCTGATTATATTTACTTGATATCATAACCATAGATGTTTTTTATTTATAATTGGCTAAACTTAAGGTACTAAAACATGATAATGGTCCCGTTCGGCTTATCTTAAATCTGGTTTGTTCGATTTCTTTTTCAGCCGAAACAGTATTTTTCTCTCACAACATTTCAGCCAGAACAGTATTTTTCAGCCAAGTTTCAGCAAGCCAAACGGGGCCAATGTACTAGAATTGTATTCTTTTTAGGAGGGATGTAGTAAAATTTAAATAAAGGAATTTTTTTCATTAAAAGATGCAAAAAAGGATAAAATAAGCGTCATTTTCGAAATTATGTTAGAAATAGACAGTGCAGTGGAAGGATGATAAGGTGGGATCCACCATATATTAAAAAGATCAAATAACGCTAGTATAAGTATGTTTGAGAGAGTTTCAACTCTGAAAGCGCAGATCTAGAGCACTAATTTCATCCTAGAGCAGCTTCACCGTAGATCTGGAATCCTAGAAACTTGTTTCGAAGACCTCTACCATAGGTCTGGATTTATATGCAATTATTAAAATACATTAGGAGCCAAATGGAAAAAAAAAGGTAAGAACACACCCACGCAACAGTGGGTTCCTCTTCCTCCTCGACAGATGAGTAGTGCCGGCGGCTGTTGTGAAAACGAGCGCAGATGAGGAAGCTCCGGGCAGGCACGAAGTGTGAAATGGATGAGTGGCAATGGTGATGCTGAGATGCGACAGGGGCGGGGCGGGTGCTAGCGGCGAGGCCGAGGCGCGACGGCATCATGCACGACATGACCAGAGAGCTAGGGAGGACGCATGTGTGCGGAGAAGAAAAACGAGGCAGAGCGTGCGGACAAGAAGAAAGAAGTCGTATGGAGAAATAGAACGAACATCTAAGTTGTGCAATGGGTGTCATTGGTGGGTAATTTCCCCAGCTCTATGAAATATTAGTTTTCATATCACCCTTTGAGAAACTCCATGAATTTCATGGATCTGAGAGCTAATCCATGTTTTGGTGGATCTCAAGTTGGTAGAGTTGGAGCATTTGGCTAAAAATATGGGAGTGGAGTTATATTTTCAGATGGGGTTGTTGGGAATTGTTCTAAATAGGACCTATGTATGGGGTATAAATATTGATTTCTAAGTTATAGACAGACGATAGTTGGCTTCTCGTGTTGGCATGTTGCTTATTCTACTTCTCATTCCCCCATCTCAGGTGGAACTTCTTGTACGGCGAAGGAGAGCAGTATTTCCTTTCTCTTTATTTTAATTTTTTAACCCAATTCAAGGCTATGAATAGAAGGTTCCTCAAGGCCCCAACATAATTTTTCTTATAGCAACTCCAGCAAGTGCCCGTCGACGAAATACGTCCTGCAGTCTACCGAGGGGTATGCCCACGGTAGTAGATAAATCGATGGAGGTGCGCGTGAGAGAACCAGATGGTGACACAGAACGCAAGAGACATCGATTAGACAGGTCCAGGCCGTCACTTGACGTAATACCCTACGTTCTATGTCTTTGTGGATTTTATTATGAGATATGGGATGAAAACGAAGGGGGTCTCTACCTGCCTTATATAGCTCGGGGGGTAGGGTTACAGATTGGTTGTTTCTATCCTGATCGATTTTATAAGATAGGAAGTTACAGATATTACGGGATCTGGCATATCCGAGCAGGTTTCCTAGATTACCGAAAACCTTCACGCAGTCTTGCGAGGCACGTCGACCTGTGTCGTGCCTCGCACGGCAGTCTTGTAGGCTGGGCCTTGTGGTAGAACCTCCTAAGGAATCGGGTCCACGTGCACCCATCGATGTCTCAACAGACCTCGGATAGCGTACACGAGTTCCCAATGACTTAACAGGTCTGTCGGGTGTCCTCGGAAAACCCGAATCATCCACGTTTCAAACAGGATCCCAATCACAGTCATTGTAGATTACAACATTTTTCAATATACATACCAGAGATAATAAAGCGAAAGACTTAAGTTTAATATTACAAACCAGTTGTTTCAAACTTATATAACCATAAGTGTCATACAACCATAGTAGCGGGATAATATTACATTAACATTATTTATTTCACACAAACTAGTGCCTTGTCCAAAGGCCATTCATCATTCCTCATCGTCATCGACTTCATACACTAACATGCAGCAGGGACCAAAACAAGCCTACGCATGTGACTCACCTGCAACAAGGGTTAACAAACCCTGAGTACAAAAGTACTCAACAAGACTGACCCGACAAAAAAGGAGCGAAGGTCTTAGGGATGCAGGTGTTGGGGCAAGGTAAGGATGTAGAAAAATTCAAAAGTTCTTTACCAAAAGCTTACTATTCTTGATCCTAGTTTCAAGTTTTACCCCTAAGTACTTTAGTTCAATATCTCAAACTAAGTGTTCATGTCTCATATTCCAATCCTTCTCATTCCATTCCTTTTCTCAAGTTTTAGTAATTCACCAGTCCTGCATTGCTTCGGTAATGAATCGAGTCTCCATATCCGCGGAGCACCGGCAATTCGAATTGATTCAAGTCCCAGCTGGGGATTCCTTATCACACGACATATGTAGAACTTAATCTTACATATATCAACCTCGCTACCGGATCCTCCTATACTAAGCCGTCTCCATGCCACCCAAGAGCACAGCACACATCAAATCCGGCCACATTCAAGCCACGAGGGTACACGCTACTCCCGCCATCTCACCACTCCTAGTGCATGGGCATTCGTCTTAGTATCGGATTAGCCGAAGTAGGCTTACCGGAGTATGTGATCAGTATTACAAAGTGTCTCATTCAGAAGATCCACAATGAGTGGCCTTTAAGCGACATAGTCGGCAACATTACCCAACATTCAAGATAAGCCACCCGACTAGTCTCTAGTTCATTCTATCTTCTTTCTTTCTTTGGCCAGTATGCCATCTTTGATTATACCCAAACTTTTACTTTGAAAGCCTACCACAAAGCATACTAAGCAATTCTACGCCTTTGTAAATAAAATCATCAAGGATGGTAAACAAGTAACAAGGTAGGCAATGCATCAAGTAGGTAACATTTGAAGTAAATCAATTTAATGCAATAAGTAACATAGGTGATAAACTTTTCAAAGTAAATAAGGTAATGGTTTTAATGCATAAACCAGGGCTTGCCTTCGTTGACGATCTCAGGTTCCGGATCAGTACCACAATTACCAAATCCCGCGACAACCGAGGATTCTTCCAGTACTTGCTCAACTAGAATCGTTTCACTCTCGGTTTCTACATGAAATGATAACATATGCTTTAACATGATGATAATGTAAACATGATGCTTTCACGGTACATGAAATGTAAAAACACCCCGAATACGATTTTCCTTCACGGTACAGTTGCAAGCCAACAAAACCAACTTGTAATTCTACCGGCAAGAACCACACATGTGACTTGACCAAACTGATCTTGAAACCCTACTGGTCACACAACATGACCCAAACAAAAATTAAACCCTAACCCTAACAATTAGGGTTGCTTTTATTCAATTTTTAATTAATTTGAAATAAGCCTAAAAATAAACTTGTTCCAAATGACCTCAAAATTTTATGTAAGCTTCCTCATAACAAATTAGTGTACCAAAATAAATTTTATAATTTTTGGAGCTATACAGTGGCCTACAAAAATCATGGAAATTGCATTTATTAATTAATAGACTGAATATTTGAACATTAAAAATTTATTCAAATTTCAAGTTTCAAATTTTTAAACCATATTAGAGCATGTACAGAAGCTATACAAAATTTTTCAGAATTTTTGGAGCTATGATTATTTTCCTACAAATTTCCAAAGATTCAGCACTATTCAAAATCACAAATTAACAAAAAGCACTATTCTCTCTCTTGCTCTCACGGATAGCCGGCCCCCACATGTCATCCCTAACCTCAGGCTTTGACCTGTGGCCGCGACGGCGCTGACCGACGCTAGCTCACCGACGGTGAGCTCAACTGCGACGACCATGGTATCTAAACACTCACAAAGACTAGCCGCGTCGATCTATGGGATTTCAGAGGTGGATTACGACACGGAAACAGGCTCACGCCGTCCATGGCGGACGTGGTGCCACGGCAGCGTTACGCCGGCGAAACAAGGCCAGTTGAGATCAAACAAAAGGCTCAGAAAGGATCAGCAGCCCACCCTGGACGTGATGAAGCAAAGAACGAGACCGGAGACACTACGGTGACGCGGGTCGACGGTGACAGTGCTCACGGCGGAGAAGACTTCGTCGGCGACGTAGTTCCGACGACTGCAG